GCCAAGATGGCCAAACTTCATCTCTCATATTTCGGACATATTGTTAGGAGAGACCAGCCTCTGGAGAAGGATATCATGTTTGGTAAGGTGGAGGGTCAGAGAAAAAGAGGAAGAACCCCAATGAGATGGATTGGCCAGGTGGCAGCATCGATGCATTCAAGCGTGGCAACAATAGTGCGGTTGGCCCAGGATCGGGCAGTGTTTCATTCTGTTGTGCATAAGATCGCTATGAGTCAGTACTGACTTGATGGCACCCAACAACAACATGGGCAAACAAAAAGAGCTCTGCTAGCATAGTGGTTACAAATCAGGCTGCTAATGTCATCTTTTTTCCGTGGAACTACCAGCTGTTGCACGGAAGAAAGATGAGGCGTTCTGCTCCCATAAAAACTTACAGCCTCGGAAACCCTGTATAGGGTCGCTATGAGTCAGAAACGACTCCACGGCACATCACCACCATGGGCAAAATATTGAATGATGTAGAAAGCATCAGAAGAAGGCAGAAGTTATATACAGAGTCATTGTACCAAAAAGACGTGGTCCATGTTCAGCCATTTAAAGAGGTAGCATATGATCAAGAACCAATAGTAGTGAAGAAAGATGTCCAAGCTGCACTGCAGATACTGTCAAAAATTAAGATTCTAGGACCTGACAGAATACAAATTGAAATGTTTCCACCAATGCAGCACTGGAGATGCTCAATCATCTATGCCAAGAAATTTGGAAGACAGCAACTGATCAGAAGAGATCACTATTTGTACCCATTCCAAAGAAAGGTGACCCAATGGAATGTGCAAATCAATCAATGGCATTAATATTACAAACAAGTAAAATTTTGCTGAAGATAATTCTGAAATGGTTGCAACAGTAAATAGACAGGGAACTGCCAGAAAATCAAACTGGATTCACAAAAGGACACAGAAGTAGGGCTATCCAATGAAGAACAAAGAGCACAGTCTTCCATATGGATTACAACTCAATGTAAAGAAAACAAAAATTCTCACCACTGGACCAATAAACAGCATTCTTATCAATGGAGAAGAGATTGAAGTTGTCAAGGACTTCATTCTTCTTGGATCAACTATCAACACTCACGGAAGCAGCAGTCAAGAGATCAGACGACGTATTGCATTGGGCAAATCTGCTGCACAGGAACTTTTTAAAGTATTGAAGAGCAGAAATGTCAGCTTGAGGACTAAGGTGCGCCTGACCCAGGCCATGGTATTTTCAATAACCTCATATGGATGCGAAAGCTGGACAGTGAATAAGGAAGATCGTAGAAGATTTGATGCCTTTGAGTTGTGGTGTTGGAGGAGAATACTGAAAGTGCCATGGACTGGAAAAGAACCAATAGATCTGTTTTGGAAGACGTGCAACCAGAGTGCTCCTTGGAGGCCATGATGACTAGGCTTCGTCTCTCATACTTTGGACACATTGTCCGGAGAGAACAGTCACTGGAGAAGGATGTCATGCTGGGTAAGGTGGAGGGTCAGAGAAAAAGAGAAAGACCCCCAACGAGATGGATCAGCCAGGTGGCATCATTGATGTCACGTCAAGTGTGGCAGCGGTAGTGAGGTTGGCCCAGGATCGGACATAACAACAACAACTGATAGTAACCGTTGCCGGTTAATGCGGTAAACTGCAACGTCTATGTGGGCCATTACGGCCGGCAGTTCTAACTCACCAGCTGCTCCTTGGAAACCCTGTACAGGGTCACTATGAGTCAGATCCTGACTCAATGGCACTTAGCAACAACAACAATATATTTATATACGTATATGGACTTCTGGTGTGGTGCTGTAGGATCAGCACTGGACTGAGAACCACAAGGTGAGCAGTTTAAATCCACCAGCTGCTTCCGGAAACCCTATACAGGGTCGCAATGAGTCGGAATCAACTGGATGGTACCTTACAACAACACATGATATCCCTGCTACATTGTCTGTAAGAAAACTTGTGATTACTAGCTTTATGGTACAAACCATGGGCCCGAAGCAAAGCTGCTCAGGTTCAAGTCTGCCCTGGCTCTGTCACCTACTAGCTTTTCAATTTCTCTGAGCCTCAGTTTCCTTAATATAAAATGGAAGCAATAATTTCAGTTATTTCTGGCAGTTGAACCAGTGATTCAGTAAGCTACACTAGTTCATATATGCCTAAGTATTACTACTGCTATGGACTAAGAATGACACTGGATGGACAAACAAATCTGATAACCAAATAGTCTAAAAATATTCATTAATAAATTATTCATATTCATTTACTTTTATTTCGAGTGCTTGCCATTTTTCTTTCTCAAGCCGTTGCATTTCAAGTCTTTCCATTTCTTCCTTTTCATATTTCAAACGGGCTTCCTCTAAAGAACCAAATTTAAAATTTTTAGTAAATAAGTCACTATATTTTTAAGCACTTAATGTTACTCTGAATATTTTCAAAATGTGGTGATAAAAAGTATTTTATAGAAGTCACAACTTCCTAGATCATCACAACTAGAAAAGTGCTAGATTGCTTTCAAAAAAGTAATATAATGCTCAGACTTTCTGGATTAAAAAAGACCTACACAGATACTGGTGTGGCGCTGTGGGCTAATGCGTCAGACTTCAAAGACGGTTGAACTGCAAGGTCGGTGGTTCAAGCTCACCAGCTGCTCCTTGGAAACCCTATACAGGATCACTACAGGTCGGAGTCGACTCCACAGCACTTAATAGCAACAACAACACAGTGATACTTGTCTTCTCTAAAGAGTTTGTAGTTATCCAGTAATGATTTTAAGCAATAATAAATGACAGATTTACTGTGGGTTCTTATGGGGAGGTAACATCTTCAAGAACTTCTGTAATATGATGGCATCTTTTAATCTTTTCTTGCTCTACTAAAAACAAGATGTGAAATAGGCAGTAAATAATATGCGTTTAGCCCAATATAATAAAACATTCCGTAAGTCCTGGTGCTGTGGGTTAATACACTGGACTGCAAGGTCAGTTTGAACCACAAGGTCAGAGGTTCAAATTCACCAGCCGCTTCTCAGAAACCTTGTAAGGGGTTGCTATAAGTCAGAACTGACTTGACGACACTTAATAGGAAAATATAGATCCTGAAATTACATTCTTATTGTGAATCACCTAAAAAGGATTTATGAGTGATGTCATATAAAGCCTGAGGGTAAAACCCACTAATTCTGACTCATAGTGACTCTGTAAGACAGAGTAGAGCTCCCCAGAGGATTTCCAAATCTATGAATCTTTATGCAAGTAGATGGCCACATCGTTCTTCCATGGTGTGGCTGGTGGGTTTGAACCATTGTCTTTTTGGGTTAGCAGTTGAGCACTTTAACCACTGCATCATGAGGGTAGCTTCAAACCTAAGGCTAGACTTTAAGAAACCTCAATTCACAGATGTTCTTTATACTAAAAGTTACAACCACTTGAAAGTCTCATACATTTGCAAACTTTTTGTTGTCTTAATTAACAAGCTTTTTTTTTTTTTTTTTTTTTTAAAGTCCTCGTGTGGCACCCTAGAATAAGCACTTGACATCAAGGTCTGCTTGAACCGTGGTCAGTTGGTTCAAGCTCACCAGCCACTCCTCGGAAACCCTATACAGGGTCGCTATGAGTTGGACCCGACTCGACGGCACTTAAAAACAACATTTTTTGTCATTTTGAAGTAAATCAAAGTTCTGTTTTAATTTAGAAAATATTTTTATACTCCAAGAACTTAAGGAGTCCTGGTATGGCACTGTAGGATAAGCGCTGGACCGCAAGGACAGTTTGAACGGCAAGGTCAGCGATTCAAACTCACCAGCTGTTCCTCAGAAACCCTATACAGGTTTACTATGAGTCAGAATCAACTTGATGGCACTTAAAGAACAACCTAAGAACTTAGGGTGCTGTGTGTATTTCTTGCTAGTGTATATTTTTCACATTTAATTAATATTTTAGAATTCTTACTGCAAAATCAGCACAGTTGCCTCTAATTTCATCAGTAAATATTAACACTACAAGACAGGTTACCCAGTTGTTTAACATATTAAAATACAGGTCAATTTAAATTATATAATGACTCTTTTTTTTTTTTCTTATGTAGGAAATATTGCACCATTCATATTATCTCAAATTACCATTGTTTATCTGAAATTCAAATTTAACTGAGTACCTGTATTTCACTTGGCAACCCTGCCTCAAGATATCTGAAATTGAATGGAGTACTTAGATCTGTCTAGTACTCTTAAGAGTGGTTATTGACTATAAAACAAATTAAATTAGAAAACAAAGAATTCTTTAAACCACACAGACTGAATTACATGACTTGCCAACCTAGCATTAGTGTTAACTCTCCATGAAACAGGCTCACTCTATTATTTTTACCTTCCTCTTTCACTCGTCTCTCCTCCTCCTCTTGTAACATCTTCAGTCTCTCAGCTTTGGTGATTTTCTTTTTCTTACTGGCAGACTTAAGAAAGGTCACAACATTAGTAAGCATTTTTGCTTTCATAAAGCCAGTCTTTTACTCATTTATACAACAAATAAGAACGGCGCTGTAGGATAAGCCGTAGGATAAGCAAGCTAATTTGTAAGTTGATAATTTTGTCTGGCCTGCAAATGATGTTACATATTTTGGCAGAAAAAAAGGTTCCCCATCCCTGCTATACGGGGTCGCTACAAGTTGGAACTGACTCAACAGCACACAACAACAATGAAACGCAAAGGCCTGGTAATCTACTTCTAAAATTAGTCAATGAGTCCTATGGGCGACAACAGACTATATCCTGCAGGGCCCACACAGTGGCCGCAACAACGGACTCAAAAGTGGCAAAAATTAACAGTCCATTATGCTGTACAGGCATTGGAACTGACCCAATGACAATTAACAACAACAAATTACATACATTGGAGGACTGTGGCGTAGTGAATCATCTAACGTCTCTTCTAGCCATAGTCTACGACGTTTCTGCCCTGCTGGGTCTGTGTAAGAGTAGGTGGGATAAGAAGCTTATAGGATAATATGATTCAGTTGTGCGTGGTTAACAGAGCTGATTGAGATTGTAAAATCTTGGAACTCAAACATGGGAATAAAACAAATTATCTTACAAGTTGGAATGGCGACTCTTACTAACATCAAATAAGAGCCAGATGCAAAAAGCTGTACAGAGAAGCAGCAGCAGCAAAACCAAGAGCTAGAGCATGAGACAAAGCAGTGGGCTTCCTAGCTCATGGAGTAACTTAGGGCAAGCGGATACCTTTAAGCACTTAACTGAGGAATCTAGGTTTGCTGACCCAGAGCCAAGTGTCTTCAGGTGGAGGCTTTCAGTAGAGTGGTATGTCCTGTGGGTATTTATCAGAAGCCCTAAAAGAGCTTTGTAACATTGGCTGGGCAGAGAGAGCTCTGCCTGTGGGCGTGGCTGAGAGACTGCCTGAAATGGAGCAACTGTGCCCTGTGCATTTCTGACCCTGAATTGTAACCCATTAATTTCCCTAATAAACCCCATAACTGTGAGTGAGGTGTCTGAATTCTGTGTGGTCACTGCGATGAATTACTGACCCTAGTTAAGTAATGAATGCTGTGGAACATTTTTTTTTGCAAGGACTATGTCTGAAAATAATAATTTAAAAAAGCATATCAATTACTCAGGTGACAAATATGTACGACTTAAATAATGTTCTCATTCTGAGTTTTCACATCTTTAAAACAATATGAAACAAAAATTGAATGTAGTTATAAGGATTGAAAAACACACAAAAGCTATTTGAAAACTTTAAACCTCTATAAAAATGAAAGGTATCTTTATGACTAACAGATACACAGAGAGCTACTTTGCAAGTTTGGAGGAAGAAGAGATTATTTTAAACAGCAGGAATCAAGTAAAATTTTTTATTAGTTAAGCAGGTGGTTTTAAGTTTGTGCCTTGAAGGATTTTAACATTCAGTTATGAGAGGCAAATAGATATCCCCTGATGAGGACCATACAGGTGCAAGATATAAAGTTAGGAGAACACTAGATAGACCAACAGGTTTAGTGGGCCCTGATGAAAACTCCAAGATGTGGTGAAGAAAATAGGGGTGGGAAAGGAGTTTGGAGTTTATGCTAAAGAGCTTGGACATTACTCTGGAGGGAAACTCAGTTGTTGGCCTGAACTCTTATTTTCTTGAGAATATAAAAAGTTTCGCATTGAATAACCTTGTCTACGTATGAACTTTTTTGAAGCTACTCATATTTTTATTTGCTTTCCTTCCAGTTATAGTGGATGAACAATATGTGCCTTCTGGTACCTAAAGCTGAGCCATCACTTTTACACTAGTCCCCCTTTTGTGCAAGATTTTCTTTACAGTGTATACCTAGGAATAAAAGCGATATTTGCATTTTCAACTTTTTGGAAGTTAGCCTTTTCCAAATACATTATTCTGATATATACTCCCACAATCATTATCCAAGTCAATACTTGCTTATTTTAGTACTTTTGCTTATCTGGTAGATTTTTGTTGTTTTTAAATATAGATACCTTTAAGAGTCAAAGGAACTGTCCTTAAACCTATGAATACGAGAAATGATATTAACAGACTTTCTAATTCATCCTATTTATGTAATTTCTTATAGTAAACCAACTCTGTCTTACTAAAGTAAACCAAAAACACACATAACATTTTATATGTTTTCAGACTGTATTTGCTGAGACTTTGTTTAAAATTTTGTATGTTATATTCATGAACGTACTTTATTTTTCCTTTCTCATAATATCCACTGGTTATGAAGGTAATTCAAGATGAATTAGTGAATGTTCCCTCTTTTTTGATGCTCTGGGAGAAGTTATATAATAATGAAATTACTTATTTGCCTTTGATGAAGAACTAGTTGTCAAAGCTTTGTGGCCCTTGAGTTTCATTTTCTTATATTGTATGGTGGTGATTATGTGCTGTGGCATTGGTTCTAACTCAAAGCACCCCTGCATAGAGTTTCCGAGGTTGTAAATCTTTATGGGAGCAGAAAGCCTCACCTTTCTCCTGGGGAATGGCTGGTAGTTTCAAACCGCCAACTTTAAGGTTAGCAGCCCGACTTGCAATCACTGTGCTACCAGAGATCCTTACATGGTTATAGGATTATTCAAGTTTTCTCTCTCTTCATACAAGTACTCATTTTTTTTTTCCTGGCGATTTATCTAATCCAAATGCTTCACTATGGCCTGCTTGGGCCTACATGAACTGGCTCCTGCTTACCTTTCAAGGGTTTTATCATTTACTTTCTCCCTGGCTCACTCTATTCTAAGTATACTATTCTTCTTACCAATGGCATTTCTAACCAGGAAGAAACAATAGTTGTTTCTTCTGTCTATAATGCTTATTCCCCAACTAGTTAGTGACTTACTCTCTTGCTTCATCCAAGTCTCTTCTAAAATTTTACTTCTTTGACCACTCTCTTTAAAAATAATACCACCACTACCCTACATTTCTCATGGACTCCCTACTTTATTTTGTGCTTGCTCCAAGAAATCTAAAATTATTTATGGTTTTTCTCCCCTCCTCCCCCCAAATAATGTAACCTTTATGAAGGTAGAAGCTTGTCTTGCTTGCTGCTTTTCTCTCAATGGCTAGCACAAGTTGTAAATCAATGAATATTCTTTCATATGTTTGCAGGGCGTTATATATAATCTATTTCCTGCCATGTTTAGGGTAGTAAAAAATGGAGGCAACATTAAAAGCATTGGCTAGAATGAACAGAATACAATGGAGCTTTTGAAATGGGGTAAGGTAATCTCAGTGTGCTGAAATAAAAAAGGTCTACAAGATGGACTTAGTCCACTTAACTGAAGTTGTCATCAGATGTAAGGAGTGCCTTTAATTTACTGCTACCCTAAAATGGAAAAGCCCGAGATCGGGACTAATAGAAGATACAAATACAAAACGAATTCAAAACACAAAAGGGTATAATGAGCAAACTTGCATGTTTCAACCCTAACAGTGGGTAGTTGTTGTTTAGTGCTGCCAAGACGGTTTGAACTCATAGCAACCATAAATGGGGTTTCCAAGGAGCGAGTTCATATTATCTGAGGTCTGAAAAACCTCAAATATAGAATTCAACGTATCAGGTTAGGAATGAGACCAAATGACTGACAGAAGTGAGCACACTTTCTGGAAAAAAAATGGATGTTTATCAGACTTTCAATGATTACGTAATGATTGTAAAACACATCTCAACTTCAGAAATACAAAAAGATAGGTGTTATGGATTGTTTCTTCTCCTCAAAACTTGTGTTATATATCCCAACCTCTATGTCTGTAGTTATAAGTTCATTTGGTAATGGGTTGTCTTTGTTATATGAAAAGTAGGGCTTGTAGGGTCAGTATCCTTGAGATAAAAGAGATTAAACACAAGCTGGCCAGGAAAGGCCAGGGAAGAGAGATGCCTCGTCAGTTGAAACTTATCCAGGAGCAGTTCAGAAGAGACTGGGACCCTCCTCCAATGTCTTCCCTGAGAACTGGCATCCTGAATTTGGATTTCTAGCCTCTTAACCTGTGTGATGTTAGTTTGTGTTTAATAAAGTCATCTAGTTATAATATTTCTGTTATAGCAGCACTATGTAACTAAGACAATGAGTACTGCAGATAATGAAACCCATGGAGTCCAGGTGTGATGCTGTAGAATAAGCAGTGGTCTGTTAACTGCAAGATTGGAAGTTCAAGCCTACCAGCCACTCTTCGCAAACCCTAAACATGGTATCTATGAGTTGGAACGTACTAGATGACACTAAATAATAATAATTGCTAAATGAAAAATAAAAGATGGAGAATGTCCTTTTGTGGGGAAGGAAGGTGTGTGAGTGTGTTTGCCCTTTATGCTTACAGGATTTATGGAACGATAAGCAGTGGTTATTTTGGAAAACAGACTAGATGCCTTGAGAAGAAAAAAATTTTTTTTCCATTTTTAAATTCTGTTTTAATTTTGTATCATGTGTATGTATGACTTTTTTTTTTTTTTTGAAAATATTTTTTAAGAGTCAGAAGGAATGAAATGTATCTTTCAGTATTTTCTGTAAATATTCTGTAAGTTTCCTTAGCAGATTAACCTCATACCAAAACAACGTTATTTTTTAAAAACTTTTTATTATTGAGTTGGGTGTTTTCCTGAGAAGATCATGAGGTTTACACTCAACAATTCCTACACATTTTGTCTCATCTCATTGATTGCAATTTCCTCAATGTAACATCATCAAGTGACAAATATATACAATTTAAATAATGTCCTCATTCTGAGTTTCCGCATCTTTAAAACGATGCGAAATAAAAATCAAATGTAGTTATAAGGATTGAAAGAAAACACACAAAAGCTTATCTCACTTCCTGAGTCTCCTGTTTCTGTCCCTCCACCTTTCTTAACCTGTCTTAACTATGCCCTTCAGTAAATATTAACCTTTTAGTTTCAAATGGTTGATTATTCTAATGTGTGCATACCTCACT